GAAACACACCAGGTTATGACTGAGGTTCTTCTATATCCCAATGTATGAAACTGGATTTACAACGGAGTCTAGAGAATGAATACCACAAAGGAAGCAGTACAGCTGCTACACATCCAGCACTAAACTCCCCTGAAGGAACAGGACCCGGGAGCTCTGTCTGTGTCTCTATAGCTCATGATTCTGGTACCCAGGGACCTGCACAGATGCTCCTCTCTCCCCCAACACGTGGTCCATTGCTCCAGGCTCACACTCTGGTCTTATTTTATCCTCTGATCACTTTGTAGGGGAAATAGTGTCATAGGGAACTTCCCGTCTCCTGAACTTGAACGTCCTGGGCTTTTAATGTTTCCTCCAGTTGTGAGGGTTAGTTCACCTTGGTGTGTTCATTGTTGATGACTGTCAAAGGCATCTCAGTTATATTTTGAACTCTATCTTCTTGTATTAATTGTTCAAAATTTTATTTTGATGCACAGTATGGGAAATGGACTTTTAAAACAACTGAATTTTATGGAAAATGAAGAAAAAATAAATTAGACCCATGTTAAAGTAAAAGATCAGCTAAATGTCTAAAGTTAAGGATATGAGATCCATAGATAAACTTTGATTTCACAGTCTTTCTAAGACGTTGTAGTCCTTCCCTAACCAGTTTGGCTCAGTGGATAGAGTGTCAGCCTGTGGACTGAAGGGTCCCAGGTTCCAATCCAGTCAAGGGCATGTATCTTGGTTGTGGGCACATCCCCAGTAGGGGGTGTTCAAGAGGCAGCTGATTGATGTTTCTCTCTCATCGATGTTTCTAACTCTCTGTCCCTCTTCCTTCCTCTCTGTAAAAAAGCCAATAAAATATAGTTTTAAAAGAATAGATATAGGAACACTCTTTAAAAATTTTTTAAAAGAAGTTGAAGTCCTTCAAACAACGTTGCTATGAACTTATCCAGAGCATAACAACATATAGGAAAGCTTAAAAAGGGTGGTGATTAGGGACACGTTTCCTTGGTGCTGCTTTGATAATGTCACCCACATGCAGCATCCCCTCTGCTGCTTCAGCTGCACCCAGATGAACCTGCCACTTCACTTGGACATTGTCTGTGATGCCCAGCACTGCCATCACCAACAGCACCTTCCTTCATATCCAGTCCAGCAGTTGTATTGCCTTCACGATGGATAACTCAGAGCTGTGCCACCAGATCTGCATTGTCACAGCCTGCATTACCATCTCTAACAGTAGGCAACATCCTAGTGCTTGAGAGTAAGAATCCATTGCAATAGCTTCTTTACCTGGAGTTCATTGCCAGATGTGACACAGAATGAGCTATCAGCAGCTTAGAACAGCCTCCTCCATAAACTGTTCTAGAAGCCTTCACAGTGTGTGCAAGAACACAAAGAGCATCATGCAAAGATCTTTCTGCTTCACCTAAAATGTGCTGAGTGGCACCACGAAGAACAATAGTGCAAGCCTCACCAAGGGCTACCCCAGAAACATGAATGAGCGTATCTTCTCCAATCATGACTTCCTCAATGAGCTTGCAACTTCCAAGCTTCACTAGTTCTAGGAGGTCAAAGATAGAGGCAATTTCACCACCTGTGACAAGAGCCAGGTGTTCTACATGTTCAATAGCCATACCCCAGAAGCCCCAAAAAGCAGCTCAGGATAATTAGAAATTTATTGCCTGTTAATAAAGCAATATATCCCATGCTTAAGAATACATTCAACTTTCTCCTTCATTTTTTCCCTTTTCTGCTTGTTTTATTTTAGCAAACTTTGCTGTAGAATCAACCCTTACAGGGGAACCAAATATCTTTATTTTGTCTGTGTTCACACCAGTATTTGCAATAAGAACTTTAGCATTTTCATTTCCTTTTGGTTGATTAACTGCATTTTTTTTTTATCCAACAGAAAGCCTTTATCTAAATAGGAATCCACCAGACTTTCTCCTAGCTTCTTGATGACATGAATTACCTCCAGATTACCAGAGCCCTTCAATCAGAGAACAGCTTCTACAGCTAACTTTGTAGAGTGATCTTTGTGATGAGTAAGAAATTTGAAGGATAATGTTGTTCCTGCAATGTTCATTAAATCTTGGCAGGATTTATCTTCATCAGAACCATGATCAACTGTGGAACTGAACAGAGCCTGTCTTGCTGCCTTTGTGGCTTCTCTTCAACCCGCAATGATGGTCTGAAGATGAGTCTTTTTTGAAATTAAATATTCTGCTTCTCTTAGTCATTCTGCTGCTAAAATAGGAACAGAGGTAGTGCCATCTCCAATGTCATCATCCTGAACCCTGGACATATCAACTAACACTTTAGCTGCTGGATTATCAACACCGATGTTTTTTGGAGGATAGTTGGTCACCATATGAGAGGCATCTCATCCACTGCTTCCCAGAATTGTGTCCATGCATTTGGGTCCCAAAGTGCTCTTAACCAAGTGTCCCATAGTGATGGACCAATAAAGGAAGACAGGTGAGCTGTCTCTGTTCTCTCTTCATGAGCAGCACCCGCAAGATGTTGAAGGTGTCAGGGAAGCCATGGTTCCAAAGAGGTGGCCACTCATGCTTCTCCCTCTCAGCTCGCAGCCTGGATGCTGGGGAAAAGAAGATGGATGTGACACCAGAGGCTGTTGGCATGGGGGGGACCCTTGGCAGCTCACAGCAGAAGGGCTGACCTCTATTTTCTTATGTGTCCGCATCTGATTTTCCCCACAGGGTCTACCACTATCACTTCAATGTGATCAGTGTCCCTCCACAGTTGCTAATTTCCACAGCGTCACAGCTCATTTCCCCAGTAGACTCACTCCTTCCTTCCTGGGAATGAGCTCACCTCAGTAACCCACACACATCCCCATACGCATAGGCACACGTGGTGTATTTCCTTCTCTGGGACCAACAGTGTGAACCAGTCTCCATCCAGGCACATCTCCTCCCTCTGTCCAGGTCGGACCCAGGCACATCTATAAACACCAAGGGACCTGGGACCCCTAATTAGAACGGCCTCACCTGCTCTGGATGTCAGGTGCTCTCTCTGCGGACCTAATACAGGTCAGACCCCATGTCCAGGTGCTCACCAAAGGGCCAGCATGTTCTCCGTGAGCTGCTCCTGGGGGCTCTTCAAGAACCTGCATCCAGGAGTTAGAATTTTTTACTTAATCATCCAACAAGATTATTGACCACCCAGGTGGTGAATCTTTGCACTCAAGACTTTGTTCATGAAAAAATGAAGGAAATAACCTTTGCGACGCTAAACGCTGAAAGGACGAGGACTGCGCCCTCCATCTTGCCCCGTACCCTCCATGTTGGGGCAGCTGCCATGTGCTCAGGAGGGTACCTCCTTCCTGGAAACCCCGGCCTCTTCTGGCCACGCCCAGGATTTCTTTAAACTAACCAATGACAATCAAGGGACGTGCACGCCATAGAGATACCCGACTTGCGCCTGGCCAATTGGCAGGGCCCACGGTCAGCTCCCCTCCCCTTGCTCCACCCCACAATAAAACTCTTCGTCCCATCGGGCTTCGCTCTCTCAGCCACTGGGCTTACCGTTACATCGGTGAGTGTGGTTGGGGAGCCGAACTAGTTCGAAATGAAGGACTCTTTGCTTTTGCATCGGACTCGCTGGCTCCCTGTGGGTTCTTGGGAATCTTGAAATCTGGGCACAACAAAGCAATGAATGAAAATCACCCCCTGCAGAGGTGGGCCCACTTCCTCATCTCCCAAAGTGAGGAGGGCGGGCTTTTCTGTCCTCTCCACTATGACTTACTCATATGGTCTTGGGCACAATCCTAGAATTCACTGACAGGGGGGTCTCAGGAGCTGTATTTAAAGGGCTCAGCTCCTGGACAGGGAACTGTCCTCTGTCCATGGTGAGTTTGTTCCCTGTGCTCACTGCTCCCTACAGTTCCACTGCCAACAGTCATGGAGGGTCCCCCACAAATATCAGAAAACATGTTCTCTCCAATCGTGGTTCAGGGTTCAGGATCTGAAAGAGGAGCCACACACAAATGAAAGAGAAAAGACAAGAGATAATTTGGGAATATTGGGGGCCAGGGGGGTAAGTCCAACACAAGAGGAAAGAATTCTACCCGTGCTCAGGCCGCACCAACCATTTTATATTCAGAGGTAAACAAGGTAGTGGTTACATAGTTACACAGTTCTTGTGAATTTCACTTGTTTTGACCATAGTTATACTTCCTGCACTTCCCTCAACCCATTAGCTTCCCAGATAAGATCTAGGGAGTGTTATAAGGTCAAGCCTAATTATGCTAAGAGGGCTGTGCCCTCTAAGCTGGGACTTATTTGTGACTTTGCCAACAGGTCAGTCCGAGGCTTAACCCTATATCAGTTCCCCACACTGCTGTGTCGCATGGTGGACACTCCAGGGTGCTGAGTGTGCACACCAGGCCTCGTAACAACACCTCCCAGGTGCAAGCTGAGGGCCTGGTACTAGAGGCCTGGGATGCGGAGGGTTATGTTCCTCAGGTTCTCTCTGGAGGCGGCCGCCTGAGGCCCAGGGTATTTTTGCAGAGAACCATCTGCATACAAGTAGCAGGACTGGGGCTTCCACTCTTTCAGAAAGGCCAAGGAAAGCTACTCCATGGTAGATATTCCTGCCTTGTCTCGGGCAGCTGGTTCAGATACCTGTCCTCAGACCATGAGGCTCAGAATAACCACTAGGGAACACTGTCATCTCCAAAATCCTGTTCCCGGATGACTCCTGAGGGTTTTATGTGCAACCTGCACTGGAGGACTGACAAAGTCCCACTTTCCGTCCTGGCAGAGTGTGTTTCTCACTATTCACAGATGAGCTACTAGAATATTCAGACCAGCCACATGTCCCTGAGTCCTGGCCCAGGCACCCTTGTCTACTGGTCTTCCTCATGTGACTGCAGGGAGGGAGGAACCCCCTGCCAGCTCAGACAGGTCCTCAGGAAAAGACATGCAAATGCAGCACCTCCCCTGCTCATGAAAGTCTGCCAGACTGGGAACCTTCAGAACCTGGACAGGAGCCCTCCTGTGTGAGCCTCTCAGTGTCCACACCATGGGGTCTGCGCTCCTCTGGGCTGCCCTTCTCTTCGCTGTCAAAGGTATGTTCCTGTGCATCAGGCTCATGGGGACTGGGTGACATGGGGCAGTTCTCAGTCTGCTTCTCTGTTTGCAGGTGGCCTGTGCCAAGTTCAACTGGTGGAGTCTGGGGGAGGCGTGGTGCCTCCTGGGGGGACTCTGAGTCTCTCCTGCAAAGCTTCTGGATTCACCTTCACTAACTACAGCATGTACTGGGTCCGCCAGGCTCCAGAGAAGGGGCTGCAGTGGGTGGCAACAGTGAGTCAACCAAATGGAAAGAATCAGTGGTATGCTCCAGCAGTTCAAGGAAGATTCACAATCTCCAGGGACAACCCTACGAGCACAGTTTCTCTTAAAATGACCAAGCTGACATCTGAGGACACAGCCATATATTACTGTACAAGAGACACAGTGAGGGGAAGTCAATGTGAGCCCTGACACAAACATGCCTGATGAGACAGCAGGGCTGGGCTGCAGCGGGCACTCAGGACCAGTAAGGGACACTGAGAACCAGCAGGTGGAGCTCATGACCTGCAGGTCATATGTCTAATCTTGGGCAAGTGCAAAGGGGTAGGGGCAGGCTTCCTATTGTGATGGGTGTTTTCCTCGCCTCTCCATGTTATTGTCTAGTCTCAGGAAAAAGCATGTCTTATTCTTTGAATCTTTAAGTTCTCACATCATCGCTGGGGCCAGGAAGGAAGGGCACTGTGTTTGTAGGTGAGTGATGAGCAGTCACTAGAGATTCCCTTCAGCAGTTCCCTACAGGATCTTCTCCATGAGCAGATCAGCCTGACCATTCTCACATCCCTGATGGGGACACATTTCCTTCAAAGAGAAACAGCACTGACATCAGTGCCCTTGGGTTTAAGCTCATGCTCTCTGGCCCAGTAGGTGTGGCTCTGTGCTAGACCTATGACCCAGGAGGTCATGATTTGATTTGGGTGAGGGCACATGACCACCAGATTGGTTCCCCAGCAGGGAGAATGCTGGAGACAGCAGATCCATGATTCTCTCTCACCATTGATGTTTCTACCCCTCCCTCTCTGAAATGAATAAAAATATCTATAATAATAAAAGTGTAATATGCAAATTAGACTGGACATCCTTCCAGATGAAGCTGGGGCTGCAAGTGAAGGCAGGGTCCAGGGTGCCTGCCAGTGGCTGGAGGGAAGCCCAGGCCCCAGGTCCCAGGTGCCAGAGGGAAGCTGGTCCTGGGAGCTTGGGGAAGGAAGGCCTACTCTTGCACAAACGTTGTGCATTGGGCCTCTAGTACTTTAAAAAAAGAACCTCACACTCTCTGCCCTCATACCGGCACACACTGCCTTACCTGGCCCCTTACTTCAGACAGGCACTCCCATGTCCCTTGCTGTCTTCTATAAAATTTTAGTCATCAATGCACGGAACCCACTTCATCTATTCATTTGACATGTGCATTCCTCCAGAGTCACCCAGGACACATCCCAGACAGGTGGCCTAAGCTGCCATCAACCCCCGTCATGCATGAATGGTCCTGATGGACATTTCCTGTAGTGACAGAGATTCATTTCAGTTGTCACTTTGCTGTAAACATTGTTTAGAAAAGATGTTGCTTGATGCAGGGCCCACGTGTGACAACACATTAGGGCAAGAGCCACATAGAGGATAAATGTACACTGACTTACAAGAAGGGGTGGCACACACTTACCAGGTGCTTGATGGACCAGCACAGACCCACAGGCCTGAGGAAATGGGGATGTTCCTGACCTCTCCCTGGTAGGAGCCTGAGTAACCACCATTGGAGTCTGAATTCTCACTCGCAACAACATACTCAGGGCAGGACTACCCATGAGGCTGAACCAGAGACACTGATGCCAGAGGAGACTGAGGCTCTGGCAGGGGCTGATATTGCAGCTGTGGGTCTCTGAGAAGTGATTGTCTCCATGTGGGAGACAAGGGACTGAGGGCAACTGGGAGGAAGCCCACAGGGAAGTTAACTATCAGGATGGACACCAATAATAGACAGACTCCTAATTCATCTTGGAACCAGGATCCAGAGGAAGCCAGGGTCCCTCCTATAATTGGCCTTACTCACCTGCCCACTGTTGCCCCATCCACCAGGTGACCTGGGAGGACAGCCTCACCAGACAGCTGACAATGCTGCTGCCTCCTCCCCTCTCAGTTCTGAGGTGTACACCCAGCTTAATGAGGGGGTCTTTGGGGACACACTGCAATGTACCCCTGTGGTCAAAGGGATGACCAATTGCCACCTCTGACTCTCCCTGACCTGTTCTAACCTGCATGTGGGTATACAGGACCTGGAAGAGCACAGACACACCAGAGCCTGCTCTTCAAAGACTGTGTTTGTATCGTGGGTGCATTTGATCGGTTTCCAAAGAAAGTCTCACCCAGGCCTAGAATTCCCTTGTGGCCCCTGCCCATGTGCGATGGACAGGGAAGAAGGGCAAATGTAGATTCATAGCAAAGAAAATCATCAGTGTGTGTGTGTGTGTGTGTGTGTGTGTGTGTGTGTGTGTGTGTGTGTGTGTGTGTGTGTGTAACCTATTAAATACTAAAAGTGCTGTGAGATTTGGACCAATGCCGGGAAGAGAGGAACCTAAGAACATAAGAGGCCCCAGGGCCCCTGGGAGCTTCTGGATGAAGGGAGGGTCAGCTGTGTCTGTGTAACTGGGAGCTCCAGGGAAGGGCTCCCTGGTGGCTTCCTAAAGCCCTGGTTTGGGGTCTCCCTGCAGACCCACTGGGGCTCAGGAAGGCCAGTTCACTCTGTCCAGACACATCAAAACCACACGGTGTCCCTGAGGGAGCAATCTGATGTCAGGGCACAGTCTTCACTACTGGACTAGAAAAGCTGAGAGGTCAATGTCCTGTGAGCCTAGACAGGACCCTCCCCTACAGTTCCAGGGCTGGACAGCAGAGAGCGCTCAAGGCCCAGGAGCACAGGCTGCTGCCACAGGAGCAGGTGCAAAGGGAGCTGGGCAAGGGCCTTCCTCTCTTCATACAAACCATCCAAACTGAAAGTTGGACATTTATGCTGAGGTGACTATGAATATCCTGCTCTATGACAGCATTTATCAAACTCAATGAGACATGAGAACTACTCACAGGGGGTGTTTCTATGGCTTCTGGATATCTGAATTGTAAGGGGCTGGGGCAGGAATGGATTTATTACCTCACTAGAGGCAAGATTTTGGAGACACGATGATCCAGGAAGAAGACATTCAGGTATCAAAGCCTAGAGCTGGTCCAAGTGGCCCATGTCATACAAAGGTGGGACCATAAAGGTGAGCATGCCCTGTGGGGCTGGTTCCTCATGGGGGGGGAGCTCTGTCTGCACAGAGGTCATGAATCTGGCAGATGACTCATCTCCTCCACCCAAGATTGGGACTTGGACACTCAGACTCCCACTGAGCCCGTTCCCTGTGTCAACCATCTTCTCTCAGGTGGGGTCAAGACCTCAGCTATGAAATACTCTTCTTCATTAATATGCAAAAGAGAGGAGGCGGACTGGATTAAATATCGGTAAGTCTGTGCCCTGAGGGTATCAGCCACAGCCATACTCTCCCCTACAGAGTGCTCACAGCACAGCCCTCACTATGGACTGGAGTTGGATTACCCTCCTCCTGGTGGCCATAGCTACAGGTAAGGGGCTCCCAGTGTCTGGTTTGAGGAAGGGACCAGTGAGAGTCAAGGGAGATTTCCACTCACTCCTGTCTCCTCCCCACAGGTGTCCACTCCCAGGTGCAGCTGGTGCAGTCTGGGTCTGAGGTGAGGAAGCCTGGGGCCTCCGTGAAGGTCTCCTGCAAGGCTTCTGGATACACCTTCACCAGCTATGCTATGAACTGGGTGCGACAGGCTCCAGGAAAGGCCCTGCAGTATATGGGCTGGATCAACACGGAAACTGGGAAACCCACGTATGCTCAGGGATTTTCAGAAAGATTTGTCTTCTCCATGGACACCTCTGTCAGCACGGCCTATCTGCAGATCAATGGCCTCAAGTCTGAGGACACAGCCATGTATTACTGTGCAAGACACAGTGAGGGGAAGGCAATGTGAGCCCTGACACAAACCTCCCTGCAGGATGGGCTGTGACCACCAAGTGGCGCTCAGCATCCCTGAACACAAGGACCATCCCAGCAGCACGTGCAGCTGGAGGTTTGAGCTGGTTTCCTGTGTGGTTCCCTCTTCATGTCACAGTTTCCCTCAGGGAACCTCTGGATTCCTGATTCTGCACTTACCTTCGAAGCCCTTGCGTTAGTCTGTTGTAAAGAGACAAAACTTTCTCACATGGACAAAAGACACATAATATCTTTCAGACCACTCTTGTGCCTAAATGACAATCATCTAATTTTCTGACCCAAATGCCCTGAATCTAACAAGAGGCTCCACTGACTTAACAGTGCAGCTCACCTAAATGCTCACCTTAAATTGAAAAACATCTCTATTTCTAGCTGTGGCCAACACAGTTATTTGAACCCAAAGCTGAGAAGAAAAACCCCGGTGATGACAGTCATTGACTTGTCATCATGCTCATAGCACAAGAGTAGGTGACACCAGGCAGAGGCAGAGGCAGCCACATAACTTGGTACAGATGTCTAAGCTGATGATGAACACAAACATTAAGGGACACGGGATGTTTATTATGCACATGGTTGAAATCTCTGGGAAGCAGAAGAAAGGCCCTTCAGTCAGAGCTGGTTGTTGAAGCCATGAAAGGAGACTGGCTCAAGGCAATTGGGGATGGTGAGGAATTCTGCTTCCAGTGGGTGGTTCCAATCTCAAAATGACATCTAAAGAGAAAACTATGATATCTTAACTCCATTCCCATGTCAGGAGCAGATGGAGAAGAGGCATCAATGAGCCAACAGTTGTCAGAACTCAAAAAAAGAAAATAGAGTATGGCTACCCATTTTGCTTACAACTATAAAAAAGCAAAAATTGAGATAAAACATCTTTATGTGTGTACAAAAACAAGATCTATAGAAAATGAGAAGAATAATTATAAGTAAGCAAATAATGATGGTGAAAATTATGATGGTGATGATGATCATGTTGTTGATGATGATGATGATGAAAATTATGATGGTGATGATGATGATAATGGACTGAGACAGGGGCCCGAGTCCATTGAAATTATGGCTCCTTATAAAGACAAACCATCACAATGGCTCCTGCAGTGAGGGGTGTCCACTCTTCTCTGTAAGTGTAGACACATTTTTCTCCTGGGAGCCTAATGAATTATGCAGCTTTGGTGATTGCTGATGTGATCAGGTGAGTAATGAGCCCAAAGGTGCCCAAGTGTGAATCCCCTGGACCTGGGAAGGTGTTACCTTCTATAACTGAGACACTGTGAGGATGTTCATGTAGGAAACAGGGAATCACCTTTTCACAGGGTCCTATTTCTCTTTCTTCCTACCTGCATGACCCTTAACATCTCTATTTCTAAAAATCTCCTGTTGATTATTATTCAAGTATTTTCTCCAATGATGGAAGCTTTCCCCATATGCCCTGTATTTTCTGCTGAGCTTTTAGTAGAAGAAGCTTTAAACCCGTATGTAGAGTAACAATCTGTTCATGAAAGTCAGGCATATTTTTGATGTATGATTCAAAAATATCTTGCATCCTCCCCTTACCCAGATCCAAAGTCAACAATATTCTAGGGCATAATATAGGATGAAAACATTTCACAACACTCTCTGACCCAGCTGGTGTGGCTTCGTGGTTGAGAGTCGACCTATGAACCAGAAGGTCATGGTTTAATTCATGGTCAGGGCACATGCCCAGGTTGTGGGCTTAATCCCCAGTAGGGGATGTGCAGAAGGCATCTGATCATGATTCTCACCCATCATTGATGTTTCTATCTCTCTTCCTTCCTCTTGGAAATCAATAATAATATATTTTTATAAATGTGCTCACATTCTCTGTCCTCAGACTAGTACAGACTGTCCCTACATGGCCCCTTCCCTCAGACTGGCACTCCTGTGCCCCTTGTGATCTTCAATAAATCAGAGGCCTAGTGCACAAAATTTTTCACAGGTAGTGTCCCTAGCAGCTGCTGGCTCATGCCCAGGGCCTCCCTTCTCCTGTTCCTGGCTGCTGACCAGGGCCTTCCTTCATTCCACACCTCCCCCACGGCGGTCAGCATTTGTCATAGCGAGCGATCAAACTCCCAATCGGTCAAAATCCCAAGGGGATACTTTGCATATTAGGCGCATATATATATATATTAGTCATCAACACACACAACCCACTAAGTATATTCATCTTACATATGCATCCTCGATGATCACCCAGGATATGTGTCAGACAAGTGGCCTGAAGCTACCATCAGCCCCCTGCTAAACTGACCTGCCATAAACCATGGCAATACCAGGTAACTCAATGCTACTCACAGACAGGCCTGTGCAAGGTGAGGGCACAGCCAGCACAGAACGCTTCTAACAGCAAACACACCTTATGTCAGACATTCTGCCATCTGTAGGACAAGCCCCAGTGATGGGCAATATGGGCTGGTGAGTCGAACGTCAAAGTGTCCCCAGTGAAAAGTGCTTGTGTAGACAGTGAGATCTCTGTGAAGGTGAAGTCACAACACAGGCACAAAGCAGAACTGGGAGAGGAATCCTCAGCTGGAATAACTTCAGAGAAAATGCAAAGTTTAATAAATGATGTTAAGAGAAGTGTTTACTTAAGAAATTGAACAAGGGAAAGAAAATGTGTACTTCCATTGAGTGTAACTCAACACAGATGAAAACTAATTATTTCCTGGCCTTTCTTTCTTATAAAAATACTAGAGGCCTGATGCACAAAGATTCGTGTAAGAATGGGCCTTCCTTCCCCTGAGTGCTGGCACCACCTTTGCTCTGGCCAGAGCTGCCTTTCTGACTCCCCACGCTGCCCAGAGGACCAGAGCTGCTGGGGTGGTACAGAACGCCTGGCAATGAAACAAGCATCCCACCCTGCTCCCGGCAGCTAAATGCTTGTGTATGCAAATTAACTCACCATCTTTGTTGGGTTAATTTGCATAGTCACTCCTGATTGGCTGGTTGGTGTCATAAAGGTACAGTCAATTTGCGTATTTCTCTTTTATTAGAGTAGATGTTTTTATTGATTTCAGAGAGGAAAAGAGGGAGAGAGAGATAGAAACATCAATGATGAGAGAGAATTATTTACCAACTGCCTCCTGCATAACTACCATGGAGATTGAGCCTGCAACCTAGGCATATGTCCTGACCAGGAATCAAACTGTGACCTCCTAGTTCGTTGGTCAATGATCAACCACTGATGCACGCCAGCTGGGCTCGGCTTTTCATTATATTCATTCCACTGTCTAAAAGTACCAACTGGCCCTAACTGGTTTGGTTCAGTGGATAAAGCTTCGGCCTGCATACTGAAAGGCCCCAGGTTCGATTCCAGTCAAGGGCATGTACCTTGGTTGTGGGCTCATCCCCAGAAGGGGGTGTGCAGGAGGTAGCTGATTGATATTTCTCTCTCATCAATATTTCTAACTATCTGTCTCTCTTTCTTCCTCTCTGTAAAAATCAATAAAATATAAAAAAAATAAAAGTACCAACTGCCTGGATTGCACACACAATCATTTGCAAGAAATCCTCAGGTTCCATGTCCTCACTCTGCTGTCCTCCTCACAGACTAGCCCTAAACTTAACCATGGTCTTCTCAGCCCAGTGCTCTGTTGGACAGAAAGGCACATGGTCAGGGTGCCTCGGGGCTCAGAGTGAAACTAGGGCACCATGGACACTGCAGTCCTGGCCTGAGACGTCTCCTGAGTGGTGGCTCAGAAGCAGCCTGCAGGGAGAGTGTTCTTTCACAATCCCACCGCCCTCAAGTGGCGCCCATTCTTTATCACCTGGACACTGAAGGCTGCGTGCACACCTGTCTTCAAGCTTCAGTTCCTTTTTCCCTTTCCTTCCTCTGTTTCTGGTCCACACACAGCTCTATGAGCTGCTCTCCTGGGTCAGGAGCCCTTGGCCCTGACAATTCCAATCAGTTGGCTTCTCCTCACACTCTGAACAGTCTTGATGCAGCCTTCATTGTGGTGGCCTCATCCATCCCCTGAATATCTGTTCCTTATTATCAGGCTTGTCTGCATGCAGGCCCAGTGCACCTTGGGCTATCTCCACAGTTCCCTGGCATTTAATGTGCCATATGCGCAGGATCACTTTGATAATCTGTATGAAAATCTGGTTGGACTGTTAACAATATACAATACAATCTGATGTATTAATCCATGAAATGAGTCACCATCTCTGGGTTCAGTAGGGTCAGAGCCTCCAGGACACCAGGTGTTTTGAGAACAACCATGGCTGCCCTAGACATGGCTGTGTCCACTGCATCCACCTTGGGGCATCCCCAGCCCTGGCCTTGGTGGCCAACCAGGGCAACTCCTGACCTGGGCCAAATCAGCTCCTGACCAGGGCCTCTCCATTGGTGAGCCTCCTCCCAATCTCTTCCCAACCAGGTTGTGATCTGTAGACTTGAAGGACCATCTCTGTACAGCCCACTATTAGCAAGAATCCCATCAAGCTGGTTTGGCTAGAATCCCCCAACCTCAGTATGGGCTCACCCTCGAGGCCTCATTGGGTTCCCCACCCAACACGACCCTCTCCAGGAGATGTTTGGTCACTCTGGCCCGCCCCCCTCCTGAAGGCTGTTAGGGTGACTCACCAGCTCCCCCTGCCCCCGCAACCCTGCTGTTCCCTCTTAGCACCTGTCCACCCACTGACCCACCCTCTCCCTGCACCTCAATTCCAACATGTGCTTGTTTCATTCAGACTTGAACCATCTCTCTCTCTCCTACTGAAAACCCCTCTGGACCCTCACCCTGATTCAGTCTGCCGTCCTTAACAAGTGTGAGGATGAAGGTGTTCCCTCAACGCTCCGCCCACTGAGGGCCTGAGGCAATCAGGACACACGGCAGACCTGCCTGTCAGTAGGCTCAGCCCAGGAAGTTCCTGCCACACACTGGGGTCTGGTTGACTTGTGACCATGTCCCCTTTGGCAGGTGGCAGTTCCCACGTGAGTGCCCTGCCAGGCCTGCA